TCCGCTACGACTCTTTCCCCCCCACCCATCATCTACCCATGTTTACCCGACTTCTTATGATTACCACTTTTCTGCCTCCTCTAACGAAGTTCCCACTCAAAAGGAGGGTACTATGAGTACGCCTTCAGTCCCATCTCCTAGTTCTAGAAGAGTGACTAGGAGGTGGAACTAAAGACGTACTCATAGTACCCTCCGTTTGAGTGGAAGCTTTTATTCAGGGTACAGAAAAGTGCTGAGAAGTCGGGTAAACAAGGGTAGGTGAGTTAGTAGATCCATCCTCAAAAGTACTTTGATGTTCTGCAATACGCTATTATGGATTTTTTTTCAGGCTATGTCGATATGACCATTGAGAAGGGTCGTCTCGAGTATACATTCGCCTTCTTCTATTACAATCCGTCGATCTGCGATCCAGCTCCCCCAGAAGACATGGTGGATCGACGAAAGTCACCCATATCTGTTTAGTACATCATGAAGCCATGCTTTACTACTGCAGCTCACCGCTTTTTCGATGAAACAGGGCTCATCGTTTGGAAACTCGTTAGACACCGGCATAATAGAAGGTCCTAATGTAGCAGATCAATTTGATTAGTTTGGGCGTAGCACGTGTGTATTGTAAATAAAAATATAGTTTAAATGCCTGAACAGTGTGAACCCTTGAACCTCCTACATTATCGTATTTGACGTGATGATTGTAAATAATTACCCATTTTTTAGCCTTGTTCGATAAGAATGTGTGGATTCTTTTTGATGTTTTTTTTTGTTTTGATGACGGGTTTAAGACTAAGAAAGAAGAATAAATTGATTGATTATTCGTTGAGACTAATGTTATTGGCTCCAGGTTAAGAGATCCATGTTGCAGCGACAACTAACTAGCAGGCTTGACACATCTTCCTTGAACCCATTAGGCTTGGTGTGAATGCCGCGCACGTAACTCCGCTGGCAGCTGAGATCAACATCCGTTTGTGTTAACGAATTGCACAAACGGAACTTGGACAGTAGCAGGCTGCCCTTTCAGCGCTGTTCAAGTTCGGAAGTCACCCCTGCCCAGCAAGAAGTTCACAAGCTGTAGTCATCTGCTGCAAACACTGGGGTGTCTCAGGCGGGTAGGGGTTAGGTTTGGCGCGACGTCAGGCCATCTTCTTCAACGGAATGTTGTCTTGCCGGCTTCAAGGCTGCTAGGCTCGGCGCCTTTCCCGAGGTACAAGGTTACAGTACAGTGAATCCTAAAGTCATGAGATC